CAATCTGTACCTTTTCTTTCTCTCACAACAGAAATTTGGTAACAAATGTCTTGTGGACAATTACATTCAGCAGATAGATACATTTCCTCTGTTTCTATTATTAAAACCTGGTGTCCTAAAGGAGAAAAAAAGTGTTCCACACAGCAAAGTCATCTCATGCTTCTCTTGTGCTTTTTCCTTCTCCCTCTAGACCTGCCAACTCACTGTTCTTCTCCCTCTAGACCTGTCAACTCACTGTTCTTCTCCCTCTAGACCTGTCAACTCACTGTTTTTCTCCCTCTAGACCTGTCAACTCACAGCAGTTCTCCCTCTAGACCTGTCAACTCACTGTTCTTCTCCCTCTAGACCTGTCAACTCACTGTTCTTCTCCCTCTAGACCTGTCAACTCACAGTTCTTCTCCCTCTAGACCTGTCAACTCACTGTTCTTCTCCCTCTAGACCTGTCAACTCACTGTTCTTCTCCCTCTAGACCTGTCAACTCACAGTTCTTCTCCCTCTAGACCTGCTAACTCACAGTTCTTCTCCCTCTAGACCTGCCAACTCACTGTTCTTCTCCCTCTAGACCTGTCAACTCACTGGTCTTCTCCCTCTAGACCTGCCAACTCACTGTTCTTCTCCCTCTAGACCTGTCAACTCACTGGTCTTCTCCCTCTAGACCTGTCAACTCACTGTTCTTCTCCCTCTAGACCTGTCAACTCACTGTGCTTACACCAGGGGTTGGAACCAAAATTATTTTCCAACCGTTTAGTTCTAAACAGAACCATTATTATTTTCGTTCCATTCCATTGTTCTGACCAGCAAAATAAAGTTCTGAACCGGTTTGAATCCCAAAAAAAGTAACAGTTTATATCGTTCCTTTCTGTTACTTTTTAAACCTCTGAAATATATAATTTTTTAACGTTTAGCTCGACATTAAATTACTTCACCAATCAGTGCAGATATAGCAGCATGATATGGAGCGGGCAAGCTATAGTTGTTTACATGCATTGGACAGACAATTGTAGGGCGTGAGATGCGACTGAAATTTTCCGGGTGGGGAGAGAGTGAGATAGGATGGAGGAGGAGGCGGCTTGCCTTGAAGCACTGGGCATCTTGTTATGACATGCATTATCTGAATTAGGACCAAATTAGGATACTCGAAACATTTCGTTATTTTCCTGTTTTCGGCTGTTTTACCTGAACCGATTCCAACCCCTGGTTTACACACAGCAAGCTGAAAACTCAAGCGGCACTGAAAGCAACCACCATGACAACTCTGTTCTGACATACATTACATTCACATACATGTATGGATTGTCTATGGTTAACAATCGCTTTAAAAAGTCTATGTGCTGTCTAATGGTAAGAGATCCAGAACCTAATTGCACTTGATCTATTGTGCTCAGGCCAGTAATCGTACTTTAACTAGGTATTTCTTTCACTATCAACATATTAACTGAAACAAGGCCCATTTTTTACAATAATAAAAAGCCATGAAAAGGGCCGTTAATACTCTACCCAATACACAACCCTTTCCATAGTTCTTTAAATGAGACCTTTTCATGAACTAGCACACTGGCATAACAGTCATGGACAAAAATATATTCAATCAACCAATCCATATGGTATAGTAGAATTCCTGGATAGCTTCTAGCTCCCTTCTCTGGTCCTTTGTAAAGTGTGTAGTAAACTATATCTACAGCAGCACCAAGAACTGGAGAATAGCTCAACACTAGATTGTTAGATACATAAGACTGAATAAATATATAAACACAACATGCAACAATTTCAACGATTTTACTGAGCTACAGTTCATATAAGGAAATCAGTCAATTGAAATAAATAAATTAGATCTAATCTATGGATTTCACATGACTGGGCAGGGGCGCAGTCATGGGTGGGCCTGGGAGGGCATAGGCCCACCGTCCTGGGAGACTGGCCCACCCACTGTGGAGCAAGGCCCAGCCAATCAGAATGAGTTTTTCCCCACAAAAGGGCTTTATTACAGACAGAAATACTTCAGTTTCATCAGCTGTCCAGGTGTCTGGTCTCAGACGATCTCGCAGGTGAAGAAGCTGTATGTGGATGTCCTGGGCTGGCATGGTTACGCGTGGTCTGCGGTTGTGAGGCCGGTTGGACGTACTGCCAAGTTCTCTAAAACGACGTTGGAGGCAGTTTATGGTAGAGAAATTAACATTAAATTCTCTGGCAACAGCTCTGGTGGACATTCCTGCAGTCAGCATTCCAATTACACGCTCCCTCAAAACTTGAGCCATTTGTGGCATTGTGTTGTGTGACAAAACTGCACATTTTAGAGTGGCCTTTTATTGTCCCCAGCACAAGGTGCGCCTGTGTAATGATCATGCTGTTTAATCAGCTTCTTGATATGCCACACCTGTCAGGTGGATGGATTTTCTTGGCAAAGGAGAAATGCTCACTAACAGGGATGTAAACAAATTTGTGCACAAAGTTTGAGAGAAATACGCTTTTTGTGCGTTTGGAAAATTTCAGGGATCTTTTATTTCAGCTCATGAAATATGGGACCAACACTTTACATGTTGCGTTTATATTTTTGTTCAGTATACATACATTATATCTCACATTACAGGTGTCATACAGCATGTCTTATTGAATGTTCTAAATCTGAGATTACATCTTTTCACTTGTAAGTGTTTTTCTACAGAATTACAGTGGGGAAAAAAAGTGTTTAGTCAGCCACCAATTGTGCAAGTTCTCCCACTTAAAAAGATGAGAGAGGCCTGTAATTTTCATCATAGGTACACGTCAACTATGACAGACAAATTGAGAAAAATAAATCGAGAAAATCACATTGTAGGATTTTTTATGAATTTATTTGCAAATTATGGTGGAAAATAAGTATTTGGTCAATAACAAAAGTTTCTCAATACTTTGTTATATACTCTTTGTTGGCAATGACACAGGTCAAACGTTTTCTGTAAGTCTTCACAAGGTTTTCACACACTGTTGCTGGTATTTTGGCCCATTCCTCCATGCAGATCTCCTCTAGAGCAGTGATATTTTGGGGCTGTCGCTGGGCAACACGGACTTTCAACTCCCTCCAAAGATTTTCTATGGGGTTGAGATCTGGAGACTGGCTAGGCCACTCCAGGACCTTGAAATGCTTCTTACGAAGCCACTCCTTCGTTGCCCGGGCGGTGTGTTTGGGATCATTGTCATGCTGAAAGACCCAGCCACGTTTCATCTTCAATGCCCTTGCTGATGGAAGGAGGTTTTCACTCAAAATCTCACGATACATGGCCCCATTCATTCTTTCCTTTACACGGATCAGTCGTCCTGGTCCCTTTGCAGAAAAACAGCCCCAAAGCATGATGTTTCCACCCCCATGCTTCACAGTAGGTATGGTGTTCTTTGGATGCAACTCAGCATTCTTTGTCCTCCAAACACGACGAGTTGAGTTTTTACCAAAAAGTTATATTTTGGTTTCATCTGACCATATGACATTCTCCCAATCCTCTTCTGGATCATCCAAATGCACTCTAGCAAACTTCAGACGGGCCTGGACATGTACTGGCTTAAGCAGGGGGACACGTCTGGCACTGCAGGATTTGAGTCCCTGGCGGCGTAGTGTGTTACTGATGGTAGGCTTTGTTACTTTGGTCCCAGCTCTCTGCAGGTCATTCACTAGGTCCCCCCGTGTGGTTCTGGGATTTTTGCTCACCGTTCTTGTGATCATTTTGACCCCACGGGGTGAGATCTTGCGTGGAGCCCCAGATCGAGGGAGATTATCACTGGTCTTGTATGTCTTCCATTTCCTAATAATTGCTCCCACAGTTGATTTCTTCAAACCAAGCTGCTTATCTATTGCAGATTCAGTCTTCCCAGCCTGGTGCAGGTCTACAATTTTGTTTCTGGTGTCCTTTGACAGCTCTTTGGTCTTGGCCATAGTGGAGTTTGGAGTGTGACTGTTTGAGGTTGTGGACAGGTGTCTTTTATACTGATAACAAGTTCAAACAGGTGCCATTAATACAGGTAACGAGTGGAGGACAGAGGAGCCTCTTAAAGAAGAAGTTACACGCTGTGAGAGCCAGAAATCTTGCTTGTTTGTAGGTGACCAAATACTTATTTTCCACCATAATTTGCAAATAAATTCATAAAAAATCCTACAATGTGATTTTCTGGATTTTTTTTTCTCAATTTGTCTGTCATAGTTGACGTGTACCTATGATGAAAATTACAGGCCTCTCTCATCTTTTTAAGTGGGAGAACTTGCACAATTGGTGGCTGACTAAATCCTTTTCCCCCCACTGTAACTGTACAAGTTGTAATGAATTGGATGCAATATAACTTCACTGAAATAGATAACTGACTGGATGCATATATTTTCAAAATGAATAATAATACATGGTATTTTATTTATATAGCGCTTTTCAAGGACCCAAAGTCATTATTATTATCATTATTATTTTTCAAATGTATGTTTAATCACATAAATACTTACGATGCCCTATTCAGGGCGTATGAGGTACCGTCAAGTTAAATGGAAGATTTTGATCTGTAGGTTTACATGGCTGTTGTGTTGCAGTTTCGGCTGTCTTGTTAGCGGGTTGGGTACCCTGCAGTACTCATCTCCCAACACCAGGGGACCTCCAGTAAACCAGTATTCAGTGTTTGCTGAAATAAGGCTTAACTACTATATATGTCTGTGTGGTGTCTTAAAATGATAAGCAGATACTGATTCTCTGTCTTAGTAACCTCTCAGGGCTAGAGCAGAACCCATCCAAATATACCTTTAACCTTGACCCTAACCTCTAAACTTTAACCCTAACTGATCTCTATGTATGGCTCTGACCCCAGTGTACTTAGGGTTAACTGACACTGTAGCCGGAATGACAAATCAATGTTTAAGTAATTGGCAGGCATCTTGACAGACTGTCGTCGTGAATACAGGGACATGGGTTAGTGTTAGTACAGGAATACGTGCCCTCTGTCCTTCCTCTTTCTCTCTCCATCCTCCTCTCCCCTCTCTCTTCCTTCGGGGTCTAGAAGGGGGAGGTGGGGGAGGTGGGGGAGCGGACGGTGTCAGCTGAGCTAGGGGAGGTGGGGGAGGGGCTGGGGGAGTAATCTTCTGACTCTGAAGTGAAGTCAGCGGGAGAAAGGGCAGGGTTGTTGGAGCTTTGGGCGGAGCTTTGGGGTTGGGGGCGGATCTGGGGGCGGGGCTTCAACCTCACATCCTGCTGGTGTCTTAGTCTGAAAACCTGTTGCTCCTTATCAAGAGGGGTGGTCTGAGAGGGAGAGAGGAGAGAGGGAGAGAGAGGAGTGAGGGACAGAGAGAAGGGGAGAAAGAGGCAGATAGAGAGAGATGAGGGTGAAGAGGACATGCATTAGCTGTCAGGGTTACATGTGAAGAACCTAATGTTTTGGGCTGTACACATTCTGAACAGTCCTAAACACCTACACAGCCTTGAGTAAGAATGACTAAGAGGGATCCTTACTGTGATAACAGACACTCCGGCGGTGGTGCTGCAGGCTTTAGGACCAGTGTTGAAGTGTTTCTTAATCTTCCCAGCCACAGACAGCTGCTGGTCGGTCACTAATCGCCCATCATCCTGGAACACAGACAGAACCTCTGATAGAGCTGGTCAAGGAACACACACACACCTACTATATGTATGTTCTATGTAGTATGTTCTAGGTACTCACATTGACCCAGGGGTGATCCAGAACCTGCAGAGCTGTGTATCTTTGTTCCACCTTCACCTGCAGCATCCCTGTGATCAGCTCCTACAGTAAATCAATCAATTTATATATATACACCACCAGTCAAAAGTTTGGACACACCTACTCATTCAAGGGTTTTCTTTATTTTTACTATTTTTTACATTGTAAAATGTAAGTGAAGACATCAAAACCATGAAATAACACATATGGAATAATGTTGTAACCAAAAAATTGTTAAACAAATCTAAATATATTTTATATTTGAGATTCTTCAAATAGCCACCCTTTGCCTTGATGACAGCTTTGCACACTTTGCACACCATCATTACTTTAAGACATGAAGGTCAGTCAATACGGACAATTTCAAGAACTTCAAGTGCAGTCGCAAAAACCATCAAGCAGAGGATAAGTTCATTAGAGTTACCAGCCTCAGAACTTGCAGCCCAAATAAATGCTTCACAGAGTTCAAGTCACAGACACATCTCAACATCAGCTGTTCAGAGGGGACTGTGTGAATCAGGCCTTCATGGTCGAATTGCTGCAAAGAAACCACTACTAAATGACACCAATAAGAAGAAGAGACCTGCTTGGGCCAAGAAACACGAGCAATGGACATTAGACCGGTGGAAATTTGTCCAAATTTGAAATTTTTGGTTCCAACCGCCATGTCTTTGTGAGACGCGGTGTGGGTGAGCGGATGATCTCCGCATGTGTAGTTCCAACCATAAAGCATGGAGGAGGAGGTGTTATGGTGTGGTGGTGCTTTGCTGGTGACACTGTCTGTGATCTATTTAGAATTCAAGGCACACTTAACCAGCATGGCTACCACAGCATTCTGCAGCGATACGCCATCCCATCTGGTTTGGGCTTAGTGGGACTATCATTTGTTTTTCAACAGAACAATGACCCAACACACCTCCAGGCTGTGTAAGGGCTATTTTACCAAGAAGGAGAGTGATGGAGTGCCGCATCAGATGACCTGGCCTCCACCATCCCCCGCCCTCAACCCAATTGAGATGGTTTGGGATGATTCGGACGGCAGGGTGAAGGAAAAGCAGCAAACAAGTGCTAAGCATATGTGGGAACTCCTTCAAGACTGTTGGAAAAGCATTCCAGGTGAAGCTGGTTGAGAGAATGCCAAGAGTGTGCAAAGCTGTCATCAAGGAAAAGGGTGGCTATTTGAAGAATCTGAAATATAAAATATATTTAGATTTGTTTAACACTTTTTTGGTTACTACATGATTCCATGTGTGTTATTTCGTAGTTTTGATGTCTTCACTATTATTCTACAATGTAGAAAATAGTAAAAATAAAGAAAAGTAGGTGTGTCCAAACTTTTGACTGGTACTGTATATATATATATATATATTTATTTATTTTGTCACTAAGTGCAGGGATTGAACCATAGACCGACCTTTGCAGTGACAGACACGTTGTCCCAGGATGGTGAAGGGAAGTCTAGTTGTCCCGTTAGAATCTGGTCCAACAGAATCTCCTGGTCCTCACTGCTCCTGGATAAAAACGACAGCAAGTCTCATTTTATTATCATCATCAGCATTATAATGTTATCATCTATCTGGGTATGCTGAAATACTATGGCCGGGATTCAATGCAAGGCGCGTTATAGCGCAGCACACTAACACTGACTTTTAAAGGTAATTTACGCTTCAGCCGACATGAGAAGCTTTTACTATGAATGCGATCTCTGCAAATGTCTGGGAAAATGCCTTTAAAAGGCTTATTGTCGGTAGTCTAGTGCAATGAGCTAGAGTGTGCCTGGGATTGAATCCCGGCCTATGACAAATAAGACATAGAGCAGCACAGACCCACTGAAGGGTTATAATGGTATTGTCTATCTAGGTATCATAGAGCAGCACAGACCCATTGAAGGGAGGGAAGCCACACAGCAGGATGTATGTGATCACTCCAGCTGCCCAGATATCAACCTTCAGCCCGTACCTGTCAGAGGACAATACACACACCTGTCAGAGGACAACATCAAACCCCTGTCACACACCTGCCACACACCTGCCACACATAGACGTACCCTGTCTCAGCGATGATCTCAGGTGCTACATAGGTGGGGGTGCCACAGACCAGGTAGAGGAGTCCATCCACCAGGCTAGCCAAGCCAAAGTCTCCCAACTTCAGAGACTTACTACCATCCTGATGCTCATACACCTGGGACACAGTGAAGCATAGGCCAGGATTTAATGGAGGGCGCGTTACAGACTTTTAAAGGTAATTTATGGTTGAGTCTAAATGCGTAGCTCCCTGAACATCAGGCGTTTAAAAGGTGCATTGTATGGTGTGCCGCACTATAACACACCTTGCATTGAATCCCGGCTATATATAAACATAAATAAACAAACACACAAAAATATAATGTACACACACACACTCACACACTCACCAGCAGGTTCTCAGGTTTGATGTCTCTGTGTACGATGTTGAGGCTGTGCAGGTACTTGATGGCACTGGCCAGGTTATAAAGCATCCCACTAGCATCTCTCTCTGTGTATTTAGTAGAGGAGGTGATGGAATCAAACAGGTCACCCCCCTGTGGATCGATACACACATTACACCTTACAACACGCATAATTGTAATGAACAGTATTAGCCTGCATTACTCTATCCATAACAGGGTGTAATCTATGAAACGCCTGATCAGGTACAGCTCATCTTGACCAGCTTGCTGGAGTCTGGTGTAGCGGTCTAAGCTCCGATGACTGTCTGTGCCCTTTCCTCTCTGTTTCTCTCTCTAAACCTGTCTCCAAATATTTTCTGTTCTTCTAACTGTCCTGTCAACTCACCTTGACCAGCTCCATGATCAGGTAGAGCTCGCTGTAGGTGTCCATTTCCTCGATCAGCAGGACGATGTTGGGGTGTTTGACACAACGGAGGATGGACACCTCGTTCTGGATCATGTGTTCCTGGGGAATAACAACAAGGAACTGTCAGGTTACAGATGTTAATAGTAGTTCAGCTTAATAGTACTGTAGTACAGGTAATAATAATATAATAATACTACTACTATCAAACTACTGGAGACCATGCAGTCATTTCAACGGGGGGAGGAGACACAAGGAAACATTCAGCGACTTAACGGTTATCTACTATGAGCTGAGCAAGATCCATGTTTATGCAAATTGGCAGTGATGCGACCCCTCGATAACCAATCGGAAGGGTCTCACTAGTTAGCTTTGACATCCTGCTGAATAGGCTATTAGCAAATGTGACGTGTTTCAAAGATACACCCACAAAAAGAGAGCTCTGCGATTCCTTACTACTTTGTAGCTTTTGGTATAACTGGGCCGGAGTAGTTCTCACCTTTCCCCTACATTTGCCTTTGTTGATGATCTTCAGGGCGTATTCTCTGCCGGTACATCTCTCCACACACTCTCTGACCACAGCAAAGGTACCGTCACCTAAAGTCCTCCCCACCTTGTACCTCTCAGCGATGGACGGAGGGACGGAGGGACACTCATCACTCAGCAGGTTCAGCTCCGCTATCAAACCAGGCAAACAGGAGAGTTCGGTCATGTCTGCTACTGCACTCTCCACTCCACAGTCCCTAGATTAATAAGAGCTAGATTCAATCTGTATCGAGGAAGATTAGCGCTATTTAAATGTAAAAGTAATTTCCAATCGAGCCAACAAATGCAGCGTTTACCGTAAATGCAGTCTCCGCGAACATTGCCTTTAAATGTCAGTCATGCTATAGTGCTGAACTTCCGCGATACGGATTGAATCTAGGCCTAAGTCTCTGTCCCATAGGCACCCTATCCCCTATTCAGTGCACTACTTTTACTTACTTTGTTTACTGACTTTTTTCTGCACTGGTCAAAAGCAGTGCACTATAAAGGGAATAGGTTGCAATTTGGGATACAGGCAATGCCTTCTAGAGCATGCTCAATGGAAAAGCTGCCCTTAAACATGTATACAGTATGTCCTCTCTACTACCTTCACTACCTGCTCCGTCTCCCTCATCCATGGAGCTACACACCTTGGTGGAGGCTAGAGACAGGGAGGAGCCACTGTGTTGGGAACTCTGAGGGAGGGAGAGATCAAAAATGCTTTTTGAACACATGGATGTTGACAGTTTGGACATCTATAGACTATCTATAGGGGACTATCAATAGGGGACTATATATAGGGGACTATACAGTGAGGGAAAAAAGTATTTGATCCCCTGCTGATTTTGTACATTTGCCCACTGTCAAAGAAATGATCAGTCTATAATTTTAATGGTAGGTTTATTTGAACCGTGAGAGACAGAATAACCACAACAAAATCCAGAAAAACGGATGTCAAAAATGTTATAAATTGATTTGCATTTTAATGAGGGAAATAAGTATTTGACCCCCTCTCAATCAGTAAGATTTCTGGCTCCCAGGTGTCTTTTATACAGGTAACGAGCTGAGATTAGGAGCACACTCTTAAAGGGAGAGCTCCTAATCTCAGCTTGTTACCTGTATAAAAGACACCTGTCCACAGAAGCAATCAATCAATCAGATTCCAAACTCCCCACCATGGCCAAGACCAAAGAGCGCTCCAAGGATGTCAGGGACAAGATTGTAGACCTACACAAGGCTGGAATGGGCTACAAGACCATCACCAAGCAGCTTGCTGAGAAGGTGACAACAGTTGGTGTGATTATTCACAAATGGAAGAAACACAAAAGAACTGTCAATCTCCCTCGGCCTGGGGCTCCATGCAAGATCTCACCTCGTGGAGTTGCAATGATCATGAGAACGGTGAGGAATCAGCCCAGAACTACACGGGAGGATCAAGTCAATGATCTCAAGGCAGCTGGGACCATAGTCACCAAGAAAACAAATGGTAACACACTACGCCGTGAAGGACTGAAATCCTGCAGCGCCCGCAAGGTCCCCCTGCTCAAGAAAGCACATATACAGGGCCGTCTGAAGTTTGCCAATGAACATCTGAATGATTCAGAGGAGAACTGGGTGAAAGTGTTGTGGTCAGATGAGACCAAAATCGAGCTCTTTGGCATCAACTCAACTCGCCGTGTTTGGAGGAGGAGGAATGCTGCCTATGACCCCAAGAACACCCCATCCCCACCGTCAAACATGGAGGTGGAAACATTATGCTTTGGGGGTGTTTTTCTGCTAAGGGGACAGGACAACTTCACTGCATCAAAGGGACGATGGACGAGGCCATGTACTGTCAAATCTTGGGTGAGAACCTCCTTCCCTCAGCCAGGGCATTGAAAATGGGTCGTGGATGGGTATTCCAGCATGACAATGACCCAAAACACACGGCCAAGGCAACAAAGGAGTGGCTCAAGAAGAAGCACATTAAGGTCCTGGAGTGGCCTAGCCAGTCTCCAGACCTTAATCGCATAGAAAATCTGTGGAGGGAGCTGAAGGTTCGAGTTGCCAAACATCAGCCTCGAAACCTTAATGACTTGGAGAAGATCTGCAAAGAGGAGTGGAACAAAATCCCTCCTGAGATGTGTGCAAACCTGGTGGCCAACTACAAGAAATGTCTGACCTCTGTGATTGCCAACAAGGGTTTTGCCACCAAGTACTAAGTCATGTTTTGCAGAGGGGTCAAATACTTATTTCCCTCATTAAAATGCAAATCAATTTATAACATTTTTGACATGCGTTTTTCACGTTTTTCAGGAATTATACCTAAAGTGGCCATTGCCATTGGCTGAACGGAGTCGCATTAAGAGAAATCCCATGCAGCCTTGTTTACAAGTTCAAACACTGGAATGATTAGGATGATAGAAATCCTCATTATTTTGTTTAATGGTTTTTAATTTGAGTGTCATTATTTCTGTAGGCTATAGCCTACACTTTCTCGCTCTGAACTTCTAATGGGAGTGGGATGGGTGTGGTATTGTGACAATGATCAAGAGCAGCTGCTCACCGATTTGACAGCTCCAATGCGGTTACATCTCCGACACCGCCCAAAACATTAGCTATGCGGGTGCCGGCTATTACCGGTTAACTCTTGATCTGATTGAATCTAGGCCTATGTTAATAAAGCGTTGTGATTGTATTAGTAAAGCATTGTGTGGTCCTACCCTGCGTCGTCGGAGGCTGGCAGGACTGGTAGGAGAGGGGCTGGGGGACTTCCCAGAGCGAGGAGTCGACAGCTGACTGCCTGCCGTCCCATTGGCTACAGTACAGACACAAGACGTTAGAGGTTAGAGAAAGACAGTCCTCACTCAGTTGGTTGCTGATAAGGACAAATACATTGCTGAAAAAGTTGTTGATTCTGTAGATTAATTACTTATGCACGCACGCACAAAAACACACACACACACACACTCACAGGGCCATACCTGAGCCTGAGCTTCGGCGTGAGCCTCCTCCTCTGGGTGAGTAGCGTCCCTGCAGAGAGGAGATCCGACCGTATGACGTCGACTTCACCACCCTACACTCTGGAGGGAGAGGACACACCGTCAGATACCACACACACACACCTACAGTACACACACACACACACTAATTACTCCCATGATATTCTAATTTAAATGTTATGGTACTGTTATTATAACTATCTCACCACTCTCATCTAAGAGGAAGTCATCTTGGTAGCGAAACTTCTCTGGACCACAGGCCATAAAGATGTCATCGTCACCAAAGAAGTCCTGAAGGCATGTCACCTGGAACAGACAGACAGCTAGACACTGTCAGTCACCTGGAACAAGGATACCACAAACAACTAGTCTTCACATTACTTATTCATTATTGATATGACACAGACAGGTAGACTGGGTACCAGACCTGTTTGTGCTATCATTCCAATCATTGCCACTCCTTGTCATATGCCAAACTTATGATGATGTTTTGTCTATGACAAGGAGTGGCAAGGATTGGAATGATAGCACAAACAGGTCTGATACCGAGGCTAACAGACAGAATCTCTCCAGAGTCCAGTGGCTTCCTGTCCTAATCTCCTCTCCTTCATCTGAACTTTATCCCTCCCCCTCCCAGTATCCCTCCCCCTCCTCTCCCCCTTCCCTGTATACCCCTCCTCTCCTCCTTCCCTGTTTCTCTCCTCCCTATACCCCTCCTTCCTCCTTCCCTGTATACCCTCCTCTCTCCACCTTCCCTGTATAACCCCTCCTCTCCTCCTTCCCTGTATACCCTCCTCTCCTCCTTCCTGTATACCCCTCCTCTTCCCTTCCCTGTATACCCCTCCTCTCTCCTTCCCTGTATACCCCTCCTCCTCTCCTTCCCTGTATACCCCTCCTCTCCCCTTCCCTGTATACCCCTCCTCTCCTCCCTTCCCTGTATACCCCTCCTCTCCTCCTCCTCCCTGTAGTACCCCTCCTCTCCCCCCTTCCCTGTATACCCCTCTCTCCCTCCTTCCCTGTATACCCCTCCTCTCCTCCTTCCCTGTATACCCCTCCTCTCCCCCTTCCCTGTATACCCCTCCTCTCCTCCTTCCCTGTATACCCCTCCTCTCCTCCTTCCCTGTATACCCCTCCTCTCCTCCTTCCCTGTATACCCCTCCTCTCCTCCTTCCCTGTATACCCCTCCTCTCCTCCTTCCCTGTATACCCCTCCTCTCCCCTTCCCTGTATACCCCTCCTCTCCCCTTCCCTGTATACCCCTCCTCTCCCCCTTCCCTTTGTATACCCCTCCTCTCCCCTTCCCTGTATACCCCTCCTCTCCCTCTCTTTCCTTTCCCTTCCCTGTATACCCCTCCTCTCCCCCTTCCCTGTATACCCCTCCTCTCCCCCTTCCCTGTTATACCCCTCCTCTCCCCCTTCCCTGTATACCCCTCCTCTCCCCCCTTCCCTGTATCCCCTCCTCCCCCCCTATCCCCTCCCCTTCCCTGTATACCCCTCCTTCTGACCCTCCTCTCCCCCTTCCCTGTATACCCCTCCTCTCCCCCTTCCCTGTATACCCCTCCTCTCCCCCTTCCCTGTATACCCCTCCTCTCCCCCTTCCCTGTATACCCCTCCTCTCCCCCTTCCCTGTATACCCCTCCTCTCTCACCCTTCCCTGTATACCCTTCCTCTCCTCCTTCCCTGTATAACTCCCCCTCCTCTCTCCCTCCTCCGCGCATCCCTCTCCCCCTCCCCGCTTCTCCCACCTCCTCACCCCCTCCCCCGTATCCCTCCACTCTCCCTGCCCCCTCTGCCCCCCTCTACCCGCCTCTCCTCCCTCCCTCCTCCCAGACAGTCATATAGACCTACAGTCCTAATGCATGTACAAGAAAAATACTGACTCATACCTACAACATTCCCACTGGAATTAAATGCCTCCCACTCAGAGATAGGCTTTTCCAAAGACAGGCTGTTTCAGAGACAGACTTTTTCAGAGACAAGCTACTGACAGGCTGTTCCAGAAACAAGCTACTGACAGGCTGTAGGGCGGCAGGTAGCCTAGCGGTTAAGAGAGTTGGGCCTGTTACCAAAAGCTCGCTAGTTCGAATCCCGGAGCTAACAGGGTGAAACATCTGTTGATGTGCCCTTAAGCAAGGCACTTAAACCTCATTAAGAGCGTCTGCTAAATTACTTAAATGTAATGTTTCAAAAAAAGGCTACTGACAAGCTGTTTCAGCGACAAGCTACTGTTTCAGAGACAGGCTAGTATCTGTCTTAGATCTGTTCATTCATTATTGAGAGACATTAGACAGACTGCTACAGTATGTCAAGCAGGAATGTCCATTATCAGAGATGCGTGTGGAGGGGAGGGGGAATGTATTCATATCAATAACAGGTACAAGTAGTCAGATTGAATATGATTACAGGAGCAATCAGTAACAGAACGTCAACGTAACACTAATCAAACAGATTAAGTAATCACACTTCTGGATGTCTGAAATGAGCCAATAACCAGTATGTAAATCTCACTGGGTGTTTATGAAGAGCTGAGCAGAGTTCCAGCTGGCTACTATATTACTACAACTGCATCCCAAATGGAAAAGTGGTGCACTATATTGGGAATAGGGTGTCATTTGGGACACAGGCTGCAGCTGCAATGGAGGAGATGAATGATAACTGGCTTCAGAGCTGCAAGTCAGCACAACAGTATGTAGCTCCATTGCTGTGCTGTAGCAGTTCCCTAACACACAGTTACTGTGGAGTCAGCCACTTAGCAACACTACACTATATGAAGCAAAGCTCAATTCACCACTCAGCTTACAGTACTCACATTAGTCCAGTATTCTCAGCTGTAAGTTGTTGTATTTTCACCCCAGACAGATCATGTCAACAGGTCAACTTCCCAGCTGATGTTCAGAAAACATATTAGTTCTAGGCCGGGTTTCAATCCGTATAACGCTGTCAACAATTAGGTTTTTAAAGGCAACATCACCACGCTTGCAGATATTGCATTTGTGGTAAACGCTGTAGATGTCGGCTCAAATAGAAATAGCCTTTAAATGGCACACTGTCGACAGGTGCGATTGGAATGAATCACGGTCCTAGTCTGGCACTGTCTGAACAATAGCAGAGTCCCTGTGTGTAGACTGATTGCACAAACACCAATGAGAGGCCCAGTCAAGGTCAACAGGCACACACGCACACGCCTAACAGTGAAACACCAGTCAGATAGAATTGCCAAGCACTGTATAGCATAGTAGCCCAACCCTGATACCCACTGTATAGAACTGTACTGTATAGCCCAACCCTGTTACCCACTGTATAGAACTGTAACTGTATAGCCCAACCCTGTATACCCACTGTATAGAACTGTACTGTATAGCCCAACCCTGTTACCCACTGTATAGAACTGTACTGTATAGCCCAACCCTGATACCCACTGTATAGAACTGTACTGTATAGCCCAACCCTGTTACCCACTGTGTAGAACTGTACTGTATAGCCCAACCCTGTTACCCACTGTATAGAACTGTACTGTATAGCCCAACCCTGTTACCCACTGTATAGAACTGTACTGTATAGCCCAACCCTGTTACCCACTGTATAGAACTGTACTGTATAGCCCAACCCTGTTACCCACTGTTAGAACTGTACTGTATAGCCCAACCCTGTTACCCACTGTGTAAATGTACTGTATAGCCCAACCCTGTTACCCACTGTATAGAACTGTACTGTATAGCCCAACCCTGATACCCACTGTATAGAACTGTACTGTATAGCCCAACCCTGTTACCCACTTGTAGAACGTGATAGCCCAACCCTGTCCACTGTATAACTGTATAGCCCAACCCTGTTACCCACTGTGTAGAACTGTACTGTATAGCCCAACCCTGTTACCCACTGTATAGAACTGTACTGTATAGCCCAACCCTGTTACCCACTGTATAGAACTGTACTGTATAGCCCAACCCTGTTACCCACTGTATAGAACTGTACTGTATAGCCCAACCCTGTTACCCACTGTGTAGAACTGTACTGTATAGCCCAACCCTGTTACCCACTGTATAGAACTGTACTGTATAGCCCAACCCTGTTACCCACTGTGTAGAACTGTACTGTATAGCCCAACCCTGTTACCCACTGTATAGAACTGTACTGTATAGCCCAACCCTGTTACCCACTGTATAGAACTGTACTGTATAGCCCAACCCTGTTACCCACTGTATAGAACTGTACTGTATAGCCCAACCCTGTTACCCACTGTATAGAACTGTACTGTATAGCCCAACCCTGTTACCCACTGTATAGAACTGTACTGTATAGCCCAACCCTGTTACCCACTGTATAGAACTGTACTGTATAGCCCAACCCTGATACCCACTGTATAGAACTGTACTGTATAGCCCAACCCTGTTACCCACTGTATAGTACTGTATAGCCCAACCCTGTTACCCACTGTATAGAACTGTACTGTATAGCCCAACCCTGTTACCCACTGTATAGAACTGTACTGTATAGCCCAACCCTGTTACCCACTGTATAGAAGTACTGTATAGCCCAACCCTGTTACCCACTGTGTAGAACTGTACTGTATAGCCCAACCCTGTTACCCACTGTATAGAACTGTACTGTATAGCCCAACCCTGTTACCCACTGTATAGAACTGTACTGTATAGCCCAACCCTGTTACCCACTGTATAGAACTGTACTGTATAGCCCAACCCTGTTACCCACTGTATAGAACTGTACTGTATAGCCCAACCCTGTTACCCACTGTATAGAACTGTACTGTATAGCCCAACCCTGTTACCCACTGTATAGTACTGTATAGCCCAACCCTGTTACCCACTGTGTAGAACTGTACTGTATAGCCCAACCCTGTTACCCACTGTATAGTACTGTATAGCCCAACCCTGTTACCCACTGTATAGAACTGTACTGTATAGCCCAACCCTGTTACCCACTGTATAGAACTGTACTGTATAGCCCAACCCTGATACCCACTGTATAGTAACTGTATATGCCCAACCCTGTTACCCACTGTATAGAACTGTACTGTATAGCCCAACCCTGTTACCCACTGTATAGAACTGTACTGTATAGCCCAACCCTGATACCCACTGTATAGAACTGTACTGTATAGCCCAACCCTGTTACCCACTGTATAGAACTGTACTGTATAGCCCAACCCTGTTACCCACTGTATAGAACTGTACTGTATAGCCCAACCCTGATTACCCACTGTATAGAACTGTACTGTATAGCCCAACCCTGTTACCCACTGTATAGAACTGTACTGTATAGCCCAACCCTGTTACCCACTGTATAGAACTGTCCTGTATAGCCCAACCCTGTTACCCACTGTATAGTGTACTGTATAGCCCAACCCTGTTACCCACTGTATAGAACTGTACTGTATAGCCCAACCCTGTTACCCACTGTATAGAACTGTACTGTATAGCCCAACCCTGATACCCACTGTATAGAATGTACTGTATAGCCCAACCCTGTTACCCACTGTATAGAACTGTACTGTATAGCCCAACCCTGTTACCCACTGTATAGAACTGTACTGTATAGCCCAACCCTGATACCCACTGTATAGAACTGTACTGTATAGCCCAACCCTGTTACCCACTGTATAGAACTGTACTGTATAGCCCAACCCTGTTACCCACTGTATAGAACTGTACTGTATAGCCCAACCCTGATACCCACGTATAGAACTGTACTGTATAGCCCAACCCTGTACCCACTGTATAGAACTGTACTGTATAGCCCAACCCTGTTACCCACTGTATAGAACTGTACTGTATAGCCCAACCCTGATACCCACGTATAGAACGTACTGTATAGCCCAACCTGTTACCCACTGTATAGTATTAGCCCAACCCTGTTACCCACTGTATAGAACTGTACTGTATAGCCCAACCCTGTACCCACTGTATAGAACTGTACTGTATAGCCCAACCCTGTTACCCACTGTATAGAACTGTACTGTATAGCCCAACCCTGATACCCACTGTATAGAACTGTACTGTATAGCCCAACCCTGTTACCCACTGTATAGAACTGTACTGTATAGCCCAACCCTGTTACCCACTGTATAGAACTGTACTGTATAGCCCAACCCTGATACCCACTGTGTAGAACTGTACTGTATAGCCCAACCCTGATACCCACTGTATAGAACTGTACTGTATAGCCCAACCCTGTTACCCACTGTATAGAACTGTACTGTATAGCCCAACCCTGTTACCCACTGTATAGAACTGTACTGTATAGCCCAACCCTGATACCCACTGTATAGAACTGTACTGTATAGCCCAACCCTGATACCCACTGTATAGAACTGTACTGTATAGCCCAACCCTGATACCCACTGTATAGAACTGTACTCTATAGCCCAACACTGAACTCCATTAGTCTCACTTAGCATAACAGAGAGCATATTGGCCTCATAAATCATCAACTGGAGAAACAATGATATTGAACCGGAAGTGCGTCTGGAGAACTCTTGTCAATACTTTCTAATTCTACCATCATTATTTAATGAGACAGTGAAGTTAAACTGAACTGGATGAACAGGATGAACCGCAAACATTACAGATGAATCCCGGAATGCATTTCATCTGCATGATATTGATGATGGAATATACAGCTACTATCTCCTGGTCATGTCTGGGCCAGACGAGTACCCTGCACCATTCTCTAGTCTTCCCCAATAGCACTGACATTCACACTGTTCTGCAACACTGAGCCACACACACACAACACTCCCACTGCACCACTCTGCCGCAGAGGCTGTTCCTTAGCAACCAGCCCAGGCAACCAGATCACCATAGAAACCGTCCAGGAGAGAAAAATGGAAAACTACATCGGAGTTTCTTTGATAGAACCAGTATAAAAGAGGAGACTGACTATTAATAGGCATATCCCAACTAAACAACATGTTTCCCAACTCTTCTTGCCTCTTTCTCATTACTTCTCATATTGACTCTCTCTAGTAATCCTGTGTTCAGGACTCTGTGTGTTAAAGGTCTGTGTTCACGGGATTTATACCATATAGTAATCTGGTCATAAAGGCTATACTTCAAAAATATTTAAAGATCATCCATTGGTTAATGTGTGAAAATGTCTCAGTGAAACTGTGCTCCTGAAACGCCTACTGACTGGGATGTCAACACAGCAGACTGAGTCCCAGAAACCTGCTTCTAACTCTGCTAATTGCCTTATAGCCCATCCCTCTGAGTCTGTGGGGAAAGCTACACCTGAGAACCAGGCAGTAACTTCACTAATACAACCGTAATTCATAACCTACCAGCTTCCCGTCCACGGTGTACAGTCTCTTGACGACCCCAGAGTCCAGCTTGATGGCGTCTGTGATGTCAGAGAGGACCTGTTCGAAGGAGTGGGCCGTCTTCTTGTTGAGGAGGATGCGGACGGCCTTACGAGGCTTCACCCCGCTGCGGATGATTGTGACCAGTTTGGGCCGGATGAAGTCCTTACTCTCCCTGGTCTCCGGAGTCCCAGCCTTGGCACTGCCCAGGGAGGGGGAACCACGCGCAGAGGCAGCCGCAGCTGTCTTCACTCCAACTGACCAGTTGGGGTTTACATTCTTAGTGTAGTCCAGCTTCTTGTATGGCTCTATGGAGCCACACACATAGCTCTCTCCTGCAGGTAGGCAACACACAGAGATAGGCCTACATGGTCACAGCAACCACGGACTCACCTCACTGCATGCACCACATAATGACACAGCTATGAGATTTAGATGATAAGAGTTTACAGACCTACTGGAAATATACTAGCATGTAGGCCTACTGGAGCAGGTCACTCATTGTACAGTGGGAAACCTAGAAAAATGCACTACTTATTTTGTTCTCAGACTGCTACTGTCCCATCCCTTAGGGTTAGCTGCTCAATACTGTCCCATCCCATCCCTTAGGGTTAGCTGCTCCATACTGTCTCATCCCAACCCTTAGGGTAGGGTTAAGGTTAAGGGTTAGCTTACCTTCTTCCAGCTGCTCCATGCCTGATATTCTCTTGGTCCCATCAATAGAGTAGATGGTCCGAACCCCCTGTGGCAGGTTCACATTATCTGACAGGGAGCGGGTCAGATCGGCCAACAGGGCGTCTATAGACCGGAACCTGTACTGGGAAATAGCGTAGACAATCCCTTTGAAGTAGCGGTCTCCGTTGCGATAAAAGCGGACCTTCTTGGCCTTCTTCTCCGAGGCCAGGGACTGCAGTGTCCGGGTCCTGTACAGACTACAGTGGGCGCTGTGAGAGGGGCTCGGCAGCCCGTTGTTCCTGGAGCCTCTGCGGGTGTTTCTCTGGGCTTTCTCCCGCTCGTCAAAGTGCTCCAGCTCCATGACTGTAGTGATGTTACACAGAAAGAGACAAATCAGGGAGGGGAACATTATGGACAAGAACATTTAAACCTCAAGCAACTTATTTTCCTTCGCAGAATAAACAAGTAATTCTTTAGTTTTAGTTGAATGTCATATAGGCCTACTGGAGAGAGTAGAATCAATTGGATTTCTGCATGAACTCTGAGGTCGCGGTCGACATTCACTGGTGCTGAATGGTCAGCGCGGCAGGTGCGGTTCTGCTAGCAGCTAGCTAGTCTGACAGCCGTGGCTGTAGTCAGAATGAACGGACAGCGCCACTGGCTAGCTAGATAGAATTCTCCTGTTTGTGGGCAGTATGTCACATACTGAAAATGAGCTCTTTCTGAGGCACATAACAATCTGATTGTAGGCTATAGCATGCTCACACATGCCATGCTCTTTAGTTTCGTCCACCACCCAATTGGCATTGTGATTCTAATCAAATGTAACGTTTGTTTTGATCATATTAATTTCTGACAACATAACCCCAGCTGTTGTTAAATGACACGGAACAACACATTATGGCATCTTAAAATGTGTTTTGGGCAAATAACTACTTACCTTTCATTGAAGTCGGATGCAGTCAACCGCGTCAGTTTTTAGCAATTGCATATATCAGCTCTCCAATAGGCTATGTCGGTGTATATATTTGTAGTATGATGTCCCGCCTGAGCGGTAGAAGAAGCATCCGCCCCTTTGTTGCTCTGTGATTGAGCAAGTGTGAGCTGTACGAGCTGCTGCTAGTTTCTGTCTCTTTAGCAGTGTTTTCCAGATGGCCGTCCCTCATTGACATGCAGGCCTTCGAAGGGAAGCACCAAGCATCTCACCTCGCTAACATGCTCCCTTCTCTCTCATTCTCTCCTCCCCTCTAGATGCGCTGAAACAAGGGGCGTGGCGCAGGCGGTGATTACTCTACTAGTCCGTCAGCGCACTAACTGTTCTGACAGACACGAGGCTTTTCAGCAACATTCTTGTTCATAACGCAGATAGATAGATACAGGGTTATGTGACACAAGCCCTTTTCTCTTGACCATGCAGGGTAGGTTAGTGTTAAAGACCCCCATCCACCCATAAACAGTGGAGTATTGCAGAGGTCTGTCCCAAATGTAATGGCAGACTATTCCATATATAGTGCACTACTTTGACCAGGGCATAAGCGTCTGGACAAAAGTAGTGCACTAGGGAATAGTTTGCCATTTGGTAAGCAGATATGAGACAGCATGGGCATCTGTATGCTGGTGCTGAGGAGGATGTCTAGCAGTGTCTGCAGTAGTGTACTATACTGCATGCACAAACACAGGACAACCAAACCCAAACCGGTCTGTAACAACCTAATAATGATAAAGCTGTACAGAGAGAGAGAGAGAGAGAGAGAGAGAGAGAGAGAGAGAGAGAGAGAGAGAGAGAGAGAGAGAGAGAGAGAGAGAGAGAATTGACAGAACTGATTATTAGATCATTAACAACACCCTCAGGTTATGTACAGTACAATTATTGATGATTGGGCAGACAGATGGAAAATACAGTGACCTGATGGTTGTCTAACTCAGGACTGGTTTAGGGAGACAGAGAGCTCTAATGTTGTCTAACTCAGGTGGTAGTGGTATAGGGAGACAGAGAGCTGTAATGTTGTATAACTCAGGTGGTAGTGGTGTAGGGAGACAGAGAGCTGTAATGTGTAACTCAGGGGTAGTGGTGTAGGGAGACAGAGAGCTGTAATGTGTAACTCAGGAGGTAGTGGTGTAGGGAGACAGAGAGCTGTAATGTCTAACTCAGGTGGTAGTGGTGTAGGGAGACAGAGAGCTGTAATGTCTAACTCAGGGGTAGTGGTGTAGGGAGACAGAGAGCTGTAATGTCTAACTCAGGTGGTAGTGGTGTAGGGAGACAGAGAGCTGTAATGTCTAACTCAGGTGGTAGTGGTGTAGGGAGACAGAGAGCTGTAATGTTGTCTAACTCAGGTGGTAGTGGTGTAGGGAGACAGAGAGCTGTAATGTCTAACTCAGGTGGTAGTGGTGTAGGGAGACAGAGAGCTGTAATGTTGTCTAACTCAGGTGGTAGTGGTGTAGGGAGACAGATAGATGTATTGTCTAACTTGGGGGGTAGTGGTGTAGGGAGACAGAGAGCTGTAATGTTGTCTAACTCAGGTGGTAGTGGTGTAGGGAGACAGAGAGCTGTAATGTGTAACTCAGGGGTAGTGGTGTAGGGAGACAGAGAGCTGTAATGTGTAACTCAGGAGGTAGTGGTGTAGGAGACAGAGAGCGTAATGTCTAACTCAGGTGGTAGTGGTTGTAGGAGACAGAAGCTGTAATGTCTAACTCAGGGTAGTAGGTTAGGAACAGAGAGCTGTAATGTTAACTCAGTGTATGTGTTAGGGAACAAAGCTGTAATGTCAACTCAGTGTGGTAGTGGTGTAGGGCACAAGAGCTGTAATGTTTCAACTCAGGTGGTATGGTGTAGGGAACAGTAATGTTCTAACTGGGGTAGGTGTAGGGAGACAGAAGCTGTAATGTTGTCTAACTCAGGTGGTAGTGGTGTAGGGAGACAGAGAGATGTATTGTCTAACTTGGGGGGTAGTGGTGTAGGGAGAAAGATAGCAGTAATGTTATCTAACCCTGGAGGAATAAGGTTTTGAAGTGTCTGTCCTATATCTAGGAGATATAAGAAAGCTTAGGAAATATATACAGTACCAGTCAAATGTTTGAACACACCTACTCATTCAAATCAAATCAAATTTTATTTGCCACATGCGCCGAATACAAAAGGTGTAGAACTTACAGTGAAATGCTTACTTACAAGCCCTTAACCAACAATGCAGTTTTTTAAGAAAATAAAAGTGTTAAAAATAATTAAAGAGCAGCAGCAAAATAAAATAACAGTAGGGAGGCTATATACAGGGGGTACCGGTACAGAGTTAATGTACAGGGGCACCGGTTAGTCGAGGTATTTGAGGTAATATGTACATGTGGGTAGAGTTAAAGTGACTATGCATAAATAATAAACAGAGTAGCAGCAGCATAAAAGAGGGTGTTGGGGTGCGGTGGGTTGGGGTGGGGTGCGGTGGGTTGGGGTGGGGTGCGGTGGGGGGGGGCAATGCAAATAGCCATGATTAGCTGTTCAGGAGTCTTATGGCTTCGAGGTAGAAGCTGTTAAGAAGCCTTTTGGACCTAGACTTGGCGCTCCGGTACCGCTTGCCATGCAGTAGCAGAGAGAACAGTCTATGACTAGGGTGGCTGGAGTCTTTGCCAATTTTTAGGGCCTTCCTCTGACACCGCCTGGTATAGAGGTCCTGGATGGCAGGAAGCTTGACCCCAGTGATGTACTGGGCCGTACGCACTACCCTCTGTAGTGTCTTGCGGTCGGAGGCCGAGCAGTTGCCATACCAGGCGGTGATGCAACCAGTCAGGATGCTCTCGATGGTGCAGCTGTATTACTTTTTGAGGATCTGAGGACCCCTGCCAAATCTTTTCAGTCTCCTGAGGGGGAATAGGCTTTGTCGTGCCCTCTTCACGACTGTCTTGGTGTGTTTGGACCAGGATAGTTTGTTGGTGATGTGGACACCAAGGAACTTGAAGCTCTCAACCTGTTCCACTACAGCCCCGTCGATGAGAATGGGGGCGTGCTCAGTCCTCTTTTTTCCCTGTAGTCCACAATCATCTCCTTTGTCTTGATCACGTTGAGGGAGAGGTTGTTATCCTGGCACCACACGGCTGGGTCTCTGACCTCCTCCCTATAGGCTGTCTCATCATTGTCGGTGATCAGGCCTACCACTGTTGTGTCATCGGCAAACTTAATGATGGTGTTGGAGTCGTGCCTGGCCATGCAGTCATGGGTGAACAGGGAGTACAGGAGGGGACTGAGCACGCACCCCAGAGGGGCCCCCGTGTTGAGGATCACCGTGGCAGATGTGTTGTTACCTACACTTACCACCTGGGGGCGGCCCGTCAGGAAGTCCAGGATCCAGTTGCAGAGGGAGGTGTTTAGTCCCCAGGGTCCTTAGCTTTGTGATGAGCTTTGAGGGCACTATGGTGTTGAACGATGAGCTGTAGTCAATGAATAGCATTCTCACGTAGGTGTTCCTCTTGTCCAGGTGGGAAAGGGCAGTGTGGAGTGCAAAAGAGATTGCATTATCTGTGGATCTGTTGGGGCAGTATGCAAATTGGAATGGGTCTAGGCTTTCCGGGATAATGGTGTTGATGTGAGCCATGACCAGCCTTTCAAAGGGTTTTTCTTATTTGTACTATTTTTTACATTGTAGAATAATGGTGAAGACATCAAAACTATGAAATAACACATATGGAATCATGTAGTAACCCAAAAAGTGTTAAACAAATCAAAATATATTTTATATTTGAGATTCTTCAAATAGCCACCCTTTGCCTTGATGACAGTGTAATATTCATATGTGTCACCATACTGAATTGTAATTGGATGCATCATACTGCGCAATGATTGGTTAAGACCACCCAGGTGGTGAGGTCATTCTAAGATGATCATGGCCAGAGACACATGGACATGCACGTTATAGCTAGTTAATAAAGAGCTACGTTTATAAATATCCTGTCGTCCTGCATTTTATTATTTTGTACAAAGCGTACAAAACAAGACATGGTGTCAGAGTAAAAGGACAAAAAGATGGATTTTGCTGGAGTTCCTTCACCTCGAATGGATTGGGGGTCTACAAATCTACCCGATGCATGGCGTAAGTTCAAACAGCATGTGGAGCTGATGTTCACGGGTCCTCTGAAGGAAAGAGGAGAAGAGGGAAAGTGCAGCTACCTGCTCCTCTGGATCGGTGAAAAAGGGAGAGACATTTACAACACATGGACACTTACCGAGGCTGAATCAAAGGTACTGAAAACATACTACGATCGTTTTGAAGCATATGTTTTGCCAAAGACCAATACAATTTTCGCTAGGTACAAATTCCATGAGAAAGTACAAGGCGCTAGTGAATCTTTTGAACAGTTTGTCACTGAGCTGCGTCTGCTTGTGAAAGACTGTGATTATGCAAACAAGGATGAGATGGTCAGGGA